TTAGTAGGATTTATATTTTCAAATTAAGGCCCCTAAATTTCAGCATCATCCGATTTCAGCATCATCCCCGACATTATATATATATACGCACGCGGGTCCCCCTGTGATAATTCTGGCCAAAAATTGGTATAATTCGGGCCAAAATTGGTATAATGCTGGTAAAAGGGGAAAACCTATACTATATATCAGCCTAAAATAATATTTTCAAAAGATATTCTTATATTAAAACTTTTAAATGAAATAATATATAAATTTTTACTTTAATTTCATTGATTATAATTCTCAATGCAGTTTCAACAAATGTTAATAAATTCTTGGCTGTTTGAAATTATAATAAGTTATATTTTTTCAATCCTGTTAAAAATCTTGTTCATATCGAACTTTTTTTATTGGTGCCCACTTGTTAATTTTGAATCTTCCAAAACAGATCTAATCAAAATATGATAAAAAATTAATCAACAAATTCGTTTCTGCTATATATATCTAATAGTTTATAATGTTTTCAAATCTGATACTCTCTTAATATGATGCAAGACCTATTCACTATACATAAAAGCTTATCTTATATTCAGAGCTTTTTTTTTGCTTTTTTGTCAAGATCTCTTTGCCATAAATTTCGTACAGGCCAAAATATAATGGACATAAATTTAAACGAAAACTTAATTTTGGATATGTTGACATTGTAGTATCATTCAGAATACAATCGCAAATGCAATATAGTTCAGAATACAATCGCAAAAATATATATCATTATCGTTGTATTACTAATCACGCTCAAATCAAAAATTTATCACTGCCGAAATCCAAAACTTATCGAATCGACCAAATATTCATTCAGTCAATTTTTTACCAGATGTCCCAAAAATAATGAAAACAGCTATAAAAAAAATTCCTGGATTCCCGCTTTGCTGACCCGGACAGGTATAGAAATCAATTATTTAAGTTTGTATTGCTTTATTTTCACTTTGTGCCCTTGTAATTATTTTTTATTTTCGGGCCCTTATATGTAAATTCCCCTACATTTTTTATGGGCGATACTAGAACGGCTTCATAGATTAAATCTATTGTAGGTGACCCCTTTTATTTTGCACTGGGGTGTGACTAGAGTTGCTGGTAAAACTAAATTGTGCTGGTGAAACTGGTGACTGTCTAAAATCTGATTGGCTATTGAATGCAATGGTCAATCAGATTTAGATAGTCACCAGTTCACCAGCAGTTCTGGGTGTGACCAATCTTTGGGTATAACAAATAAACATTTACTATATAGCACATATTGTAAATTTTTATTTGTCCTACCCATGATTGGTCACACCCATAGTGCAAAATGAAAGAAATAGTTAATCCCGGCTTCAAAGATCAGGTCATGCCGAATGGATAACTCACCTAAACCGTCAGCTCAATTGACCGAACAAAATCCATCCATCCTAATAGTGACGGGCTGGTCATTTGACTGGTCATGTCTATTCGGGGTTCAAATTACATTACTAATTACAGATACACGGATCACAAATCATATCACACATCATTAAATAATTTAAATAAATATATTACCGTAAAACTTTTGGTTCATGTTCAAAAATAATTACCCAAATCGCCACTCAAAAAAGTTTCAAAATCATGTGATATTGTCAATTCATCATGATTAGGATCATGATGATAATAACATTTAGTAAATATTAATTGATTTAGTAAGTGATTTTTTTTTCTTCAAAATGAAAAGTCATCGTTGCAATCTCGATAAACCAAGTGATATCTTTTAAAAGCATGAATCCAATAAACACAATATTCTAAAAATATACATTGGTTGCCGTAACCAAATTTCCACCAAAAAAAAAAAAGAATGAAGTCGAAATAAATTAATCAAGAAAATGCAATTACATCAAAAAATCTTGTATATTTTATTTTAATGTTCTTCCGGAAGACTATAACTCTGATTATTTATTTGAGCAAAAAGTTTTTATAATCCTAAATCCGGAACGCAACAAAAACAATTATTGAAGAAACAATAATGAATCCAATAGTAACAATGGATCGATAGTATTAATAACAACTTTGAATAATTGCATAAATTAGAGGAGGTTTATAATCATTTTAAAAGACAATGGAATATTCCAAATACTTAAAAAAACCGTAATCATAATACTTTCTGGCTGTAATAAATATTAAGTTTATTGAAATAAATAAAATGTTTTAATTTATTGCTTATCATTATTATTTTTGTTGGTCTATAAATTTTTTTCGGTTGTATTTTTTGTTCAAGTTACATGAATTTTTGGTGCTCGATATATTTGCCACGTGATGCACGAAACTTTTTTGTCCATTTTTTGTGCGGCATCTGGGTTTACCAATTAAAATAGCACATGATTGATCAGCAAATCAAATTGATTTTACAAAATTTTGGAATTCATAGGGATTTATAAAATATGTTATAAAGCAAAGTGTGAGCTTCTATTTTCTTAAAAAATTTTTTATATTTCTTAGAAAGGATAAAGCACAAGAGCCTTTCAAAAAGTATTGTAAAATAATATAAAAAAATTCGTTGTCAATTGTGTAACAACTTGTGTAACATACACTGACTGAAAATATAGATTTACTAAAATAATTTAATGTATCATTGGATTATGATAATATTTCACTAAAAATTATATTCGCGTCTTTCAAGAAATGTGAAATATCTAATACTTTAGATAGTTCAGAAAATGAATTAATTGAAATAAATAATAAAATAATAAGTGTATTGTTATACTCAATAATGAAAATGAGAACAATAAAACTGTTAAGACAGAAAAATATTTGAAAGTTTGCTATTATCGCTATTAGATTCAAAATTTTGCTATGACTGCTATAAGTTATAATATCCAGTTATTTTAATAATATACTTAACATACAAATAGAAGAATAAAATAACAATGAGTTATGCTTATTTGATATACAAAAAAAGTACGTACGTCTTATTGTAAATTCAACTGTGTGTCATGTGTTTTAAATTTTTTAAACATTGAATACAATCAAGTCACGGGGATGCTTATTTATGATCTTACTTATAGGGGTGCTTATTCATAAATGGATAGAATACGCTAAATCAAATATTATCTTACATAACTTTATTAATCTATGTTAATAAAGTTTTTTTTATATGCTTATGATCAGTTAATTAGTTCTACGTAATATTGTTAGGTTACCAACTAATCTTAGTATCGTCATTAATTTTTCTTTTTCCTTGAGCCTTTACTATTTCATGAATATAAAGCACGACTAAATATATTCTGCAAAGACTTATTATCAAAGAAAATTTTACCAGGGTCGTACTTTGCGCGTACTTTCTCGAATTGTTTAATTTGATCTGATAAAACATCAGAAAGATAAGATTTCACATTTGGAATATTTTCCCATTCTTTTCCCCAATGAGGTCTATAGTAAATAAGTTTGTACAATTAGTTAATTAATGAAATTTATTGTAAAGAAAAAATTTGATAATTTCTTACTTTGCTTTGTACTTATCAAACAATCTCTGCGCTATTAATTGTATAAATTCATCCCATCCAGGAGTACCAATAACTGTCAAAAAATCTACACCACAATATAAAGTTTTTGGATCATGATTGAAAATATTAGATAATGTTGCTTCAGTGGATTTTATGATTCTAATAGTCATTAAACGTGTTAATGGAAATTTTCCTTTTCTTGCAAATTCATATAGCTACAAGTATAATAAGGTTATTATAAAGAGCAATAAAAATAAACTTACAGAATATTAGAAATAAGATATTGGATAAACTTACTGTTTGGATTATATGAGAAATTTCAGTAACGAAATTGGAAAAATCCGGGTCAACTTGGAATCCAATTTCCGATATATGCATCTTGACGCCTAGACCGCCAAATGAAAAATGGATAGCATCAGGAAATTGTAATACAGAACTAGTATTACCATTACTAATAATACTTTTCCATATTGTGGAAGTAATATTCGGAGTTGCCTCAGGGTTTTGCACAAGACTTCTTAAGAGCTCATCATACTGGTTACTAAAATCCTGGGTTTGAGCATCACTTAATTGTTCGAACTGTTGTTGTGTCAAGCTCACAGGTTCATCAGTTCGTACCCAATTCTTAACCCAAATTAGATCTCTATTAGGGTCAAGAGGATTCGAATCATACTGATTGAATCCATTGAATGGAAAATACAATAAATGAATACCATCTGATGAACTTAAAAGATTTTTAATAGATTGTGGTTTAAGGAATTCGTTTACTGGAACA